ATCCCTCTAGCTATACAACCCATCATACACCAGTTCAAGGAAATTTTCAAACCACCTCAAGGCCTCCCACCCACCAGAGATCAAGAACATGCAATTGTTCTAAAGGGGTATCACCAATCAACATTCGACCCTATCAGTACCCCCACATCCAGAAAGACAAAATTGAGAAGCTTATCAAGGAAATGTTGGAAGCAGGCATCATAAGGCCTAGTGTAAGTCCTGTTTCTAGTCCTGTTCTGTTAGTTAATAAAAAGATGGGACCTGGAGGTTCTATGTGGATTATCGGGCGCTGAACAAGGAAATTGTACCTGATAAATTCCCCATCTCAGTGATCGATGAATTATTAGATGAGCTACATGGAGCCAAGGTGTTTTCCAAAATGGATTTGAAATCTGGCTACCATCAAATTCAAATGGAGGAAGATATTAAGAAGAAAGCTTTTCGACCACACGAAGGGCATTACGAATTCTTAGTAATCCCATTTGGGCTTACGAACGCCCCCGCAACCTTCCAGTCATTAATGAATAGAATATTCAGGCCATACCTCAGAAAATTTGTCTTAGTTTTCTTTGATGACATGTGTACAGCCAAAACACGGAGGAGCATTCGGAGCACTTAAATGTAGTATTTGGAATACTACAAGAACGTAAGCTCAAGGCAAACCTTAAGAAATACAGCTTCGCGCAACCAAAGGTAGAGTACCTGGGGCACGTGGTCTCTCAAGAGGGCGTGGTAGTTGAGCCCACCAAAATTGAAGCTATGCAAAAGTGGCCTATACCAAGGAAATTTAGAGAGCTTAGGCGGTTCCTAGGGCTCACAAGCTACTACCAGAGGTTTGTCAAAGGATACAGTACCATCGCCAAACCTCTAGCCGAGCAACTAAAGAAGGACATCTTCTTGTGGGGAGAAGAGGAAACAGAGGCTGTTGAGAAACAAAAAGAAGCCATGACATCAGTCCCGGTGTTGGCTCTTTTAGATTTCAGTTAGATTTTTATAGTGGAGATTGATGCAACCAAATATGGTTTGGGAGCAATCCTCATGCAAAGCCACATGCCTATTGCATATTTCAGCCAAACCTTGTCAACCAGAGTGCGGCTAAAGTCAGTATATGAAAGAGAGCTAATGGCTATTGTCCTGCTCATCTAGAAATGGTTGCCCTACCTCTTAGGTAGGCACTTCATCGTGAGAACAGATCAAAGGAGTTTAAAATACTTTCTTGAGCAAAGGATCTGCTCATCTAGAAATGGTTGCCCTACCTCTTAGGTAGGCACTTCATCGTGAGAACAGATCAAAGGAGTTTAAAATACTTTCTTGAGCAAAGGATGGTGACCGAGGAATATCAAAGATAGCTATCCGAACTCCTTGGCTATGATTTCAAGATCCAATATAGGTCTGGTTTGGAAAATAAAGCCGCCGACGCTGTATCAAGATGTGTGGGGGAATTACAGGAGATAGCAATCTCAATGCCACTGATGTTGGATTGGGAGGCACTCGAGGAAGAAAGTTTGTAGGATGAAGGGTTAAGATAGATCCAGGAAGTGTTGACACACGACCCAAGCAGCCACCTCGAATACTCACTCAAGGGAGGTAGACTCTTATATCAACGAAGATTTGCAATGCCAAAGTCTTCTATCCACATTCCAAATCTGCTACAAGAACTCCATGGAAGTGCGATGGGAGCACACTCAGGAGTACAGAACGCACTCCGAAGATTAGCCGCCGAATTATATTGGAAGGGGGTGCACAAAGATGTGGAGGACATGGTAGCCAAATGTGATATGTCTGCGAAACAAATATCTAGCAATGGCTCCAAGAGGACTACTACAACCCTTGGCTCTTCCAAACCAGGTATGGGAGGAAGTGTCCATAGATTTTATAGATGGTCTATCCCGATCTAAAGGATTCACAGTCATCATGTTAGTGACGGACAGACTCAACAATTACGCACATTTCATTCCTCTTCGGCACCCCTACACCACAATGACAGTGACAACCACTTTCATCAGGGAAATAGTCAAATTACATGGGATACCAGAGGCCATAGTCTCAGATAGAGATAAAGTATTCCTCAGCCATTTTTGGAGGGAATTGTTCAGATTACAGGGAATTGTTCAGATTACAGGGAATAGTTTTAAAAAGGAGTATTGCCTACCACCCACAAATAGATGGCCAGACAGAAGTAATAAACAGAAGCTTGGAGACCTATCTGAGGTGCTTCGTATCAGAGAAACCTAAGCTATGGGCTAAATGGCTGTCGTGGTCAGAATATTGGTACAACACCTCTTATCATTCGGCTTCTTAGATGACCCCTTTTAAAGTATTGTATGGAAGGGAACCTCCCCACTTGGTACCCTGTGGAAGTAGCAGGGGAACCTCCTCATTTGTAGCTGATGGATATAGGAAGGATGTCCAGTTCGAAGTCGGGGAGAAAGTCTCCTTAAATCTTCGACCATATCGATAGAAGACGATGGCTAACAGGAGGAATTAGAAACTCGCTTCAAGGTATTTTGGGCCGTATGAAGTCTAAGAGAAAATAGGTGCAGTGGCCTATTGACTAAAGCTACCATTAACGGCTACTATACACCCAGTGTTTCATGTATCCCAATTAAAAAGAGCTATCGGAGACTGTTCTATTGGATTTGAATTACTCATCACTTTAACAGAAGATCTAGAAGTAAGTATGGAATCATGAGTTACAAGGGGTACACTAGGGTGAGGGAGGAGTAAAAGAGATTTTAATCAAGTGGAAGGAGCTTCCAGATTACGAGGCAACATGGGAACCTTATGAACAAATAAAACAACAATTTCCTTCCTTCCACCTTGAGGACAAGGTGGTTCTTTGGGAATGTAGTATTGATAGGTCGGTTCCTCTGATTTGGGCCCAAGCCGAACCGACCCAAGTGGGTTGGGTATACCAGAGGCGGTGCAAACCGACTCTCCTTGCCGCCTAAGAGGGTCCACCGCCTCTTGCTTGCCATATGTGGGACCAATAGGAATTTATTTTTTAAATTAAATACAAATATGGAAGGTAGGGAATATTTAAATTATTATTTGTTTTTGGAAAGGTAGAGTGAGCGGTGGGGAGGCCTTTAAATAGAGATGAGGGGGGAAGGGAAAAGACATGCTTAGATTAGTGTTCTCTTGGAGTCTCTTCGAGTTTTGGGGCTCTAGACCTAGTGTCTAGATATTTGGAGAGAACGATCCTCCTCTCGAATAGAGGATCACCTGTATCTTTGCTTATATTCTTTGCTTTGAGTTTTCAATAAAGTTCTATTTGGTTTTCTTGTCTGTTTCTTCTCGATCTTGGTTATTATCATTGTTTTGATCAAATTTGTATTAGGATTGCTTGCGAAATCAAGTAGATCCGATAGGATTACTTGCGAACTCAAGTATTTCCTAGGTGAGCCTCATATTGTGCAATTTTAAATAATGCCACTAGGATCACCATGCCGCCATCATATTTGTTGAATTTTTGTTGTAACTAGCTATATAATAGTTCTGATGTTTCTCACCATTGTTGATCTCCAATTTCACATTATTTCTCTTTATAGTGCACTTTTACGGCGCATAAAACTTGCACTAAGCATTTTCACTTACTTTGAACTAACTTTCTATCACTAAGCCATGAAATTCTCCGAGTGGAAAACGTCCATGCATTATGTGCCCTTGAACTAAACAACATGTGGATTAGTATTCCTATTTTGATAGGAAAACATTCCAATGGTTGCAAATGGATGTCTAGGCTCAAATTTATTCTGATGGCACTATTAATAAGACAGCTTTTTTGGTTGCGAAAGGCTACACCTATAGTAAGGTATTGATTTTTTTAGAAATTTTCTTCCCGGTGGCCAAATATTCACTGTTGAAATGCTTTTTAGCCCTTGTCACAAAATTGGAGTCTTATACAAGATGAGGTTAATAAGCCTTCCTCCATGGGGATTTATTTAAGGGGTTCTACATGAACCTTTCTCCATGAAATGAATGAAAAGGGGAGCCGAGTATTACTAAATGAAAAATGATATGCAAACTTCATAAATCAATTTACAGCCTTAAATAGGCCCCTGTGCCATTATGCTCTTCAATTGCTCTAACCCTTCGTGCAAGAAAGGGGAAAAATATGGAAAATAGAAAAATAAATTGTCTTATACACTCTATCATGTATAGAGAGATTGCCTTTTTGTCTTAATTTGAGTATGAAAATAAAATCTGCACTTTTAGAGAAATTTATATTAATTTTTTGCTTATTCAACTAACTCATTATTTTGAAACAAACTTGTTTATAGATTACAGATAAATGCAGAAGGGTGTGAAACGGAAAAAATGAGCAAAAGTTTGCACTTAAAAATTGTATATGCTTATGTAGCATTTATGAATTAGTGCAAGATTAAATTTATTATAGTCTGAACTTATTCAATCAAATGCTGGAAGATTTAAATATTTTTTCAAGAAACAGTAGTAATTATCAAATGTCTTCAGAACTAGTAACCATAACTGTACAGCTCAGATGCTTTGTGCACCGGAAAGGGATTATTTCATAAAATAACTTAGAAGAATATATTAATTCATTGATGAAAGATCAAATTTGCAAACATATATATTTTTATTTTTTATTGTAGACTCTATACTAGTAGCGAGCTCATAAAATTCATAGTTTGAACTTATGGCATATATATATATATATATATTAGTTTGACATATTTCATTAAAAAAGGAAATTTATATTTCTAGAAAATTAATTAGGTTTTTAATTGCAATTTCAAAATAGAATTTAATGTTTTATTGTTTATTTAGAAGTTCATTCATGTCTCAGTTTTTAACATTGTAATTTTAGTGGGGATAGTGATAACTTCCATCACGCATAGTTGTGAGTATATTGGATAATACGCTGAAAATCATATATTTTTTCCAGGTTTATGACCTTTGTGAGTGAAGATGATAGTCATAAGTATATCTTGGATCCTGCTTGGAGTTTATTTTGCTTTAAATCTACTTTCTTTCAGGTAAGATGGGATGAGGATGACGTGGACAACAGTTTACATAATAGAGTCTCTCCTTGGGAATTAGAGCCCACTGGATCAGTCTCTTGTCCAAGCAGTCTTTTAGTGTCTGGTTCAAAAAGAACCAGAATTAGCATTCCCTCACTCGGTACTGATTATCCACATCCTAGTAAGCTCATATTAAACTTCAGTGTTTTTCAATTTGTTCCTGCAGTACACTTTGGGTATTACTCGTAAATCTTTGCTACATACAGGTGGAAGTGGTTATCAGAGCTTGCGGGAATCTGCAAGGTTCCAAGAGGTCTTGCAAGGTCAAGAAATTTTTGGTTTCAAATCTCCTTATAATGGGGCTGATGCAACTCTTCCTCAGCTTTCTGAGATGAGAAGCCATCATCTGCCTGAAATGAGGAGATGCATTGCCAATCCTAACAGCTGCTTGTTAGCTGGCTCAGGAGGCAATACCAGAGTTCCACCGGGAAACTCTGATTTTTACTACCAGGGCACAGGCTTTGGGGAATCTGTTCGGTTCCATAAGGTCTTGCAAGGTCAAGAAATTGTTCCAGTGTTGCCATCATTCCGTGGAATGGCCATTGAAAGCCTAAGAGAAAATGATGGATCAAAATTATTTGAATCATATGGTACTGGAAGGTGTTCTGCTGCACCACTTCAAGGATACTGTACGTTCATACAGCCATGTACCCCAACAGCTCAAGTCTCGTCTCCCTCTTCAGTTTTGATGTTTCAGCATGCTGCTTCTCAACTCCCATGCACTCATTCATTATATGACGCAAATGAAAAGGAGAAAGCTGACAATAGTAACTTATCTGGTCCTTTCTCTTCAGCTGATGCAGATCATGTGCAACAGACGTCCTCCACAACTCGTGTGCAGCCGCAGGCATCCTTTGCCAATGCCTTTAATCAGGGAAATGGTTTTACAAAAGAACAGTGTGAAAATCTGAGTATGTATAAGGCACCGATTCATAAAAACAGTCAGAGCATCCTTCATGGTAATGGTAGCAGTTGTAGGCTCTTTGGCTTTCCACTAACTGAGAAGATTCCAGTTACTAATGTGGTGAGTAGCTCTTTCAATGAGTCTACTTTATTAGAGGCTAGCATTAAATCATCTTTCTCAATCCAAAGGCCTCAAATGCCATCGAAAAATACAGGTCATGGATGTACCAGAGTAAGTAAATTCTATATTGGCCATTCCTTTCTGGAATTCTCTGATCTCCAGCCTGGCTTTCTTATGAGTGTTTATCTGTCCATGATTTGTTGCAGGCAGGTCTGTTAATTTCCCGAAGCTTACTTGATATGCCTATCTAATGAAAGATATGGAGGAGGTTATGAATGATTATCTGGCATTATGGTTAGTTGTAAATATTATTGTTGGGCTTTTTTTTTTTTTTGAAAGAAATGCTAAAATGCATTAAAACCCAACAAGAAACAACAATTCAAGTCATACCTAAAGCATCACATTCCTCCTTCAAGCAATACAAGAAAGGAGGAATCAAAGCATCATGTAGATCTTCCCACATAAAAGATCTAACTAAAGCCAAATTAGCACAGATATCCGCTAATTTATTACCACATATATTCGAAAATGAAAATACAATTTGATTAAACTTTAGCAAGAAAGACAAATTATCATCAATCAATCTTCTAACCTTCCAGGATTTGACCGAATTTTGAAGCCGTTTTATGATATTGAAATTGTCCCCTTCGATGATAACACCTTGTGCTTCGAACATCCAATCCTTAACCATATCTTTTCAGATATAAAATTGCTAATAGCTCCAATTGTGAAATGTCCCAATGCAAGCAATGAGCTCCAAAAGCAACCAAGAATCTACCTTTCTCGTCTCTAGCAACACCGCCAATTCCAGCCAAATTATTACTCTTAAGAGCTGCATCCACATTTATTTTAATCCACCCGGGAGGAGAAGGATGCCAAGGAGAAAACAGCAAATGCTGATTAGCATCCCAGTTATCCGGTTGAATGTTCAAAAAATTACTTCTTACAACAAAGGATATAGCGTTAGCAGCTATAGTATTATCCGAATCATCCTTTCACCATGAACCACCTTGCATCTACTATTCCATACAAGATAAGCAGCTGTACAAAAATTGTTTGCAATAAGAGAATTCTTTCCCACAAACCTTTGAAGACTTTCTAGGCAATCCATAAAACTGTCAAAAATCGGAACTATAAACCCCCAACTGTTCAGTAAAGATACTACATTCCGGACCTTGAAGCAACTTCCTACCGAATGGCTATTATCTTCATCTTCTCCACAGCCTCTCGGGCAACCAGGAAAATTACTTAATCTCCTATTTACAAGGAATGTATTAGAAGGAATGGCATTTTTACAAAGTCTCCACCAAAAAAGTTCAATTTTCGGTTTTAACTTCAGTCTCTTCATCCAATTCCAATGAGCAACCTCCTCCTCATGAACCATAGCTGCTTCAAAGGACAAGGCAGTAATGGATTTCCCAACAAATTTACAGTTCAATTCTAACAGGTCTGAAGATCTATTGTTATTAATAGGAATTGTAGAAATTGTCTTCAGAAGCTGTTCCCCAAAATAACATCAAGCTTCTCCATTTTCCAATGGCCGTTTGAAATGAATGAGCTAAGAGTAACGTCTGAAATGTCCTGAATATTAACAAATGTAGGCCAATTAGTAATACATTTGTCTAATATCTAAGAATCATGTAGCCAATTGATAGATTTCCCATTGGAAACATTCCATCTAACAATATTTTTGAGAAATTTAGCTCCCATAGTAATAATCTTCCAAGTAGGTGAACTTCCTCCCTTCACCGAGCCCGACCACACTTCTTCCCCATACTTAGCTCTTAGTATTTGATTCAATAAAGAATGAGGCTTCATGCAAAAAATCCAAGCAAATTTGGCCCGAAGAGGACTAATCTTTGACACTGTTGAAAACAATCCTCTTCCACCCTCACTTTTCGGCTTACAAAGTAATTCCCAAGATGCATAATGGAGCCCAGCATTACCATTATTTTTACTCCATAGGAACCCTCTACACATCTTATCAAACTTCTTAAGAATGCTCAAATGAACCAACGAAAGAGTAGATAAAAATAGAGGTAAAGAAAGGAATGCTGATTTAACTAAAACCAATTTACCTTCCAAAGAAATACACTTCTTTCCCCAAGTATTCAGTTTATTAGCAGCAGCCTCCAATAAAATCTGGAGATCCGATGCCACCATTCTTCTTAACGTCATCTTCACACCAAGATAGTTAATCTCCTTCACAATCTTAAAGTTGAGCTTTTTAACAATCTTCTTTTGGATACTCCTTTTGGTATACTTCCCAAAAAGAATCATTGATTTTGAAGTGTTAACCTTTTGCCCCGTCCAATTATAATAATTGGAAATAATCTTCTTCAACTCCTTAACTTCTTTAATCTTTGCCTCCGAAAAGATTAAAGTATCATCCGCATAGAGTAAGTGAGACACTCTTGGTGCTAACAGAGAAATAGAAATACCCATAACACTTCTTCTAGAGAATAAGGCATTAGATAAAATTTGAGAGCATAAAATGAATAAAAAAGGGGATAAAGGACAACCTTGCCTAAATCCACATCTCCCTTCTATCCAGTCAGTCTTCTTCCCATTAATCAAAATGCAAAACTTGGGATTAAGAACACATTGCAATAAAAGCTTCATAAATTTAGTAGGAAATTTAAACTAAATAAGAACCTGCCTTAACGTTTGCCAACCCATACTATCGTAAGCTTGCTCCATGTCAAGCTTAATAACAAACATACCACTTCTAGCCTTAGACCATCTGAATTTGTTAAACACTTCCTGGGCCAAAAGCACATGATCAGACAGAGAGCGGCCTCTAATAAAAGCTGCTTGGTCCACCGAAATGATCTTCTGAATAACTTTATCCAATCTATTTAGGAGCATCTTAGCAATGACTTTGTAAATAGTCATACATAGACTAATAGGTCTGAAGTGTACAGGCTCTTGAGGACATTTGATTTTCGGGATCAATACGATCAAAGTCTCTTTCCAAGACCGGTCCATAACACCTGAAGACAGAAATTGATTCACGGCAAGCCAAACATCATCTTTAATCAGCTGCCAAAAATCTTTGATGAAAGAGAAGGAAATCCCGTCTAAGCCTGGAGAGATATTCCTCTTAGAATTCTCCACGACCACTTGTAATTCCTCCCATAAGAACTCAGCATCAAGCATAGTTTGGTCAACATTACTAATGACAGCAGATGGATTCGGCCATCCATCTAAGGAGCAGTTTATGTGTTGCCATTTCAGCTTGAAAAAATCTGAGAAAGTTTTCTGGATCACAGCTTCCTCCTCCGATACAATTCCATCCGAAGTCTTGATATGACTAATCCAGTTAGAACTTCTTGCATTTGCAAAAGCATGAAAAAAAGACGAATTACAGTCACCTTACTCCATCCATCTTGCTTTGGCTCTATGCCTCCACCATGTATTGAGCCTTGCCAAAGTTACATTGAGTTCATTGATTTTACATTTTGTCAAATGAGATATAACCTTCAGATTCCTCTAACTGGATTTCTAAAATCTCATTTTTAAGTTTGTCCCTCAACAAGTTCAAATCTTTGTAGCTTGCCTTACTCCAATAAAAAAGTGCTTTTAATGCCCTTTTAAACTTCAAATTAAGCACAGACGTCGGGTCCCCCCTGCAATTTTTCAACCAGATTTTCTTCACTAATGCAGTTGCTCCATAGTAAGAAGCCCAAACTTCTTTATACTTGATATCTCTGTTAACATGTTCCACAGGTTTGAAAATATCCAACAAAATTGGGCAATGATCCGAAGCAATACGAGTCAAGTGTTTAACTAAAGCAAGATGAATGATGTCTAAGGCAGAGGAATTAATAAGACATCTATCTAACTTCTCCAATATACGAGCACTTCCAAATTTATTATTACACCAAGTGAACCTTGGTCCCATTGATCTTACCTCATGAAGATCATTTTTAATCATGAAGCTATTAAAATCCTTGGAGCCTTGAGTCAAAGTAAACTTCTTCCCCCTCTTTTCTCAGCTTGAGACAGCACACAATTAAAATCACCTCCCACCACCATAGGTAAATTGCCTGAACAATGCCTTTCAAGATCATCCCAAAGTCTCTTCCTTTCGCGAGCATCTGTGCTGCCGTAAACAGAGGCAACAATCCAGCTGCCCTTTCCAATAACATCCAATTTTCCCAAAATCATTTGAGAATAAGCCTCAATAACAGAGAAGGTTGCTAAATCTTTTCTCCATAACACCAACAAGCCACCCGAGAGTCCAACTGCAGGAACCAGAAAAAAATCCCAGTTCATGCCCAGAAACTCCATAAGATGACTATTATCCAGAGAATTAATCTTCGTTTCCAATAAACCCACAAAGAAAACCCCTTTATCCTTGATCACCTCCTTAAGATATAGAGTAGCCTCAACCTTCTTGGCTCCTCTACACTTCCAAAATAACAAGGAAGTCATTGTTTAAAGATGGGGGAAGGCCCCCCAACCTTTTTAGTTTTTCCACCATCCATCTTCCTATTACGAGGAATAATGTTTCCTGATCCAAGGGACTTAAGCTCTTTAAAAAGCTTAACTTTTTTCTCATAAGAGTGACTTCCCACCATAGACCCTTTAGGAATTGATAGACCCTTCTCAGTCTTCTGTAAAATCCCTGACTGTTGATCAGCACACCGATCTGTGATGCTCAAAGCCAAATCTTTATCAGGAACCAATATTTCTCCTTCCTCTGCCTCGTTCATATCATCAGCTACAAATTCCTTCAAAGTACTTGATTCATCTAAACCAGATAAAACCTCGAATCTGTTAAGAACTTCAAAAGCAGAATTATCCTTTGTATTTTCTCCTTGTTTTACTTCAATTGCAGGATTAGCTTCCACATCAGGGCTATCATCCACAATCACTTTATTCTCAATAGCTTCAGGGATATTCGAACTTACCAAAGCCTCAGCTTGTTTATTACACAAGTTTGTAACTTCCACATTCCTCATATTCTTTAAAATAGAAAGACCAACCTTAGGAACATAGGGATAGAAACTTTCTTATTAAAGAATCTTCTATTATTAGCCACCTTATTCACTCTCTTTTTACCATGCTGAACCTGAATCCAGTGATTATTATCACTTCTTCTTTCCACAACCAGAGATCTCGCAGCAACCGTTTGCAGGATTTGATCACTATCCACACCAACAGGCTGTACACTACTGGATCCAATTTCCACCTTATGTTTCAACTCACCACACTCTTTCAAAGCATGTCCAATCTTGCCACATTCAGTTCAGATTTTGGAAACCCCTTCATACTCCACCTTTTGAAAAAATTCCCCAGCTAATCCCTTCACCCGAACACAGTGAGGAAGTTTCATGTCAAGAGGAATGCGCACACATACCCGAGCAAATTCCCTTCTGCTCCACTGGAACATGTTCCCATCTAGTAGAAATGGCTTGCCTACTAACGAGGCAATTCTACAAATATTTACCTCATCCCAACATTGAAGAGGAAAATTGGGCAACCTAATCCACACAGGAGAAGAAATGCCTTTAAGAGACGAAGGATTGAAATTGGCCGACCATCTATCCAATCCAATCACCTGTCCTCTAATCCACCAAGGCCCACCTGAGAGAATACTATCAACTGCATTTGCATCCTCAAACGAGCACAAAATCCATCCAAGACCCAAACCAGTAATGTGGAATTTACCAAATTTCTCCCATTGTCTTCTCAACTCTCTGCTCACCACATGAAAAGGAATATTTTCTCTAAAAATTTTCACCACAATAGCCTTTTCAAGTCTCTTAGCATTTTCCATTTCTTTCTCAGCGTGAAGAAACACCATCTTACCATCATCAGACAGAAATGATCCCAGCTCCAGATTGTCTACCTTCACATTCGGTTTCTTGCTCCAAGCCGATTGAATCCTCACATTACGTTCCTTCACCTCAGTAGCAGCCGAATTAGATAAATTAACTTCTGGAACCTTCACAGATAAACCACCAATCTTCTTCAGAGGCAAATCCTCATCCACAACATCTACACCCTTAGAACTGATATTCAACGGAACATCAGAGATAAAATCTCTATTAATCGGTGAAGACGGCAATGATTTGGTGTTAAAACAAATACTAGAATTGATCCTCAGTCCAGAAGAAGATGATGAACCTAAATTCAGACCATCATCAACCTTCTTCCCACCGTCAAGAATAGGTGAAGCATCCAGCTTATTCAGAAAAACCTCCTCAATTACATCCTTTCCTTTATCAGGAACATGGCTGGGGATCTCCTTCTTAGCCAAAAATCCCCCCTCATTGATAACCAATGGTTTCTCACTCAAACCTTTGAAGTTCTTGTTGAACCCTCCAAAATTTTGGATCTGCCATTAAAAACCTCTGAATAATCAAGAAACGGAACAGATAGACCTTTCTTGTAATTCTTCCAAGCTTCCGAAGGAATGAGACGTCTTTGCTCCATCTCCGTCCCCGGTGCCGCCGGAGTGCCGGCTGAACGCCGGCCAAAACAGCTGCGAAAATCAAGACCCGCTGAAACAGAAATTTGAAAACCTAGACTCTCTCTCTCTCTAACTGGCTCTCTCTATCTCAGCCCTTATTGTTGGGATTTGCTTTAAGGATTTATTATTAAAATTTCATTATATTTAGTTACTGCAAATTAGTTTCATCAATAGCTGTGAATTTACTTTCATCTTGTTTTGTTTATATGTTCTATATGATACGTTCTTACCATGTAAGAGAAGAGATCTAATTTTGCTATATTGCTTACTTATTTTTAACCTGCAGGTTGTTATCATTCTCAATCTCCGGAATGTTGCAACATCAGAGTGCATTGCTGCAGCTGATACCTAATTTGTGGAAGCACCTTTATCTATTAATATATTTTCTATCTTTTCAATGATTATCTACCTGTGACTTTGGTAAACCTGTGAAATGCTTTTGAAGATGCACTATTGTACCTTTAAAGCATAGTTAAACATGGATTAACACTGAACTCAACATGGTTGTACTCTGCTGTATGAAGCTGTGTAACAATATTTCTCTCAGCTGTGAACACATGCAGCTAATGCAAAACTTCTAGCTCTGAATGGTATTGCATCCACTTGTGGCATTGTTTACTTCGATTCTTGAATAATTTTTTTATACAGTTATGTTTGTTTGTTTTAAGTTAACCCGAATGTAATAATTTTTTTTAAAAATTTAATTATTTGAAAGAGAATTTGACGTAGAAAATTAAAGCCGTGTTTGTTTTATAAATAATTAATATTCTAATTGTCATTAAATCTTATGTATGTAGTCTCTTTTAACTTATTTCTGTTTCTGCATAATTTTTAACTAAAAGGGATTAAAATTAAAGATCTTTTTAATGATATTTAAACCTTAAAAGTTAGCCATTTCTTAATCCAGTTACCTACAAAATTGAGTCATTTCTTTCTCTTGGTTGAAAAGCTGGAGAAGTATTAGTATGATGTAGGAGAGATTTGATTCATGTTTTTGATAATAATGTCTTAACATTTTTATATTAATTTGCATTATTATTATTACTGACATTATCATTAAAGCAAGTTTGATGTAGGAGCGTTGGGTTTTGCCAATAATTTAAAAGAACTCTCAGTAAATGAGTTTTCTCTAGTATAGTTATTTTTTTAGGACTTTTGAGCTAATTAAGATAAATTAACATATATATATAAATAAGTTTTTGAATCTAAGACATGATTGCTAGTTAAAATTTTCCACCAACAGTTTAGACATGCTGCTTCTCTAATATGATCGTTGCTATTGGCTCGGACAAGCATGCCAGTTTTGATTTCCGTGTAATGAATCAGTGTCATTTATGCGTCAATCAGCATTGGTCTGCTTGTTCCAACCTATGTCGATATGGTCGACATATATCTACACAAATAAATAATCCATATATATATATTTTTATAGACTATCTTCTAATTTTGAAGGATGTCTTCTCTCTAATTAGGTAGTGATTAAAAAAATGTTATTTTTGGAATTGAATTATGAAGTTGGGGTTTATTTGAGCTGGCAATAGTGTTCAGAATTGTTTTCTTGCTGATTTGTTTTTCAATCAAATATGATAATTTCATTTGGCTACTGCTTTTTTATCTTTTTATCATTAATTTTAATAAATTTGTATGGTTGAAAGCTACTTTCTGCCATCATAGTAACTAAATTACTTTCCGTACATAAATTTCATAACCAACTTTATAAAACGTCATAGTTGTCCCAAATATAACCTATTATAAATGAAACAAAAAATTATCATCACATAGTTTTTTTGAAAAATAGTAATAGAAACAAAAAAATAGTAGCCAAATGAAATTGTGATTATTGTTTGAAAAGTAAAGCAGCAAAAACGATTACTCAAATAGACACATAATTTGCACTAATGGAAAATCACTTATTATCGGTGGTTATGTAAAACACTGGAGGCTTTTCGGCGGTTTAGCAACCGCCGGAAAAAATGGAGCTGGAAACCAACGATGTTTTTTTCCAGCGATTTTTTTCACCGGCGATTTGTACCGCCGGTTGGCCACCGTAAACCTGTAGCATCTGAAAAAAATGACAGCCTCCCCTCTATTTGAGGGATTTTTACCCTAAACTTTAAACCTGCACAGAAAATACAACAATCACAACAATTTTGGGCAACACGCCACTATAGTCAATCACAACAATTAGAGATGATATATTCAATAAGTGAAACCAAATAAAACAATAAGTGAAACCAAACAAGTTCATAAGTTCATAACTGAAGCAAAAAGTTAAACCAAATAAGTTTAAAATCAGATCATCATAAGTTCATCAAACTTAAAAGAGTGTTAATCCTCGTCTGGAGATGCATGTGGCTACTCTATCTCTTGCTCTTTCTTCTTTTGATTTTCATCTCTATAGGATCGCAGCTGTGCTTGCATTTCATTTTGAACATTTCTTATCTCTTATGTCTCTCTCGTCAGCGCTGCAACCCTCTAGCTTACAGTTTCTTCAGTTCCACTTGGATCATAAAATACTGAGGTGGATGAACTACCCTCATAAGCATAGCCTTGCGAACCCAAGCCATATACCATTCCTCTCTGTCTTCCTCCAATAACATCTGACCATATATGATACTTAAAAATTTAGGTCGATTCATGAGTATTCCCTCTAATACATACTTCACAATTTTTAATTTTTCTTCCTTCACTCCACGACTTGATATGAAATTTGAACCCATTATTATATATATTGGCCATGTTTTTACTTTTCGCATTGGACCCCATGCTAGTGCTTGCAAACCTTTATCGAAATATTTGTTATCAGGATTTTATACATATAAATATTTTTAAATATTAGTATTTTTTGTAATAAATAAGATGTAATTTAAATTAAAATTTTAAAATTTATGAGCTCACATAAGATCTGAACCAAATTGGGAATTCATTTGCAACAGCTTGCTCAATATCCGTCGAATCTGTTAGTGGCAAATTTCTTATAAAATACCTAGTGATAAATCATTTAAATAATACTTTAATATTTTAAATAAACATTACTCACTATTCACATTATGGAAGAACTTATTCTAAGATTGGCTCAACTTCTTCACAGTTTAGTAGCACATATAAATTTATTGTTTTGATTTCTAAATCGTTGAGAAATCTTTCAACACATTTGCCACTGGGCTTTCCATGACTTCTAAATACTGATAGTGTAGCCTGTGATTGTTCTTCTACATCGAATCCATGTTACGACCAATCTTTGTTCTTGTACTCCTTACATGAGGCTCGAAGTAGTAGGAGTAAAAGTGAGTGGTTTCTTGAGACAAATATGCTTAACATATCGATCATTCTAGTCGTGCTTTATTCTTAATATATTTCTTCAACTTGTTCAAATATATATTAAACAATTACAATTATTAAGTTAATAAACATATATTCTTTCAACTTATTCAAAAATATTGGACACTTAATAAAAATATATTTTACCTCTCGAAAGGATATATCCAATGATATTATATAGGTCCACCAACTCTAGCTTCGTAAAGTAGATGGACTGGAAGATATTCCATAAAATAAAAAAAAACTCATGGGAAAATTTTTTTCTAACTTACAGAGGATGATTGGTATGTTATTCTCGCTCCTCCGTAAAGCATCTTTGCTTAGTTTAGATGAACATAAGTCTTTGAAGAAAATGCTAAGCTCAGTCAACGGATTTGATATGTAATCGGGTAACAAACATACTATGATCGGAAGAAGAACCTCCATAATTATGTGACAATCATGACTGTTTAATCCAAATAACCTCGCAGATTTCAAGTCAACACATTGACTTATGTTTGATCTATAGCCATCAGGCATTTTTAAACTTTTAAACCACTAACATATTGATCTTTTTTGCACTAACGTGAAAGAGTAAGGTACTTTGGGCTTCATTATTTTGCCGTCAATTGTTATTACTAACTCTAGATTTTTTTCACCAGCAGTACTCTTTAATGTCCATCATTGTTTGGACATTATCTTTACTCTTACCTTTAACATCCATAATTATATTAAAAATATTATCCAGGAAGTTCTTCTCAATATGCATAACATCCAAATTATGTCTTATCAAATTAGATCTCTAATATGATAATGTCAAGAAAATACTTTTTTTAATCTAATTATGTTCAACATCATATCTCAGATATTTAGACTCTGATAATATTGAAAAATTAATAATTGATGGAATATCAAAAAGTCTCTGTAGTACATCATCACTAGTAATCTGAGTCAAGGAGGTGACCGCTCAACTTTATTTTTAACGAATGCTTCCTTATTCCTCTGAAATTGATGATCAGCAGGTAGAAACATATGATCACAATCAAACCAAGTATTTTTCCCTCCATATTTTTGTGTGAAAGCTTTAATATTCTCTATGTAATAAGAACATACTAAATTTCCAGTTGTGCTCCAACCAAATAATATACCATAAACTGGAAGATCACCAATGGTCCACAACAATGTAGCTCGAAGGAGAAAATATTGTTTAGTTGATTTGTCATATGTGAGATTCCATGCAGCTAGAACTGTTTTCCTTGAACAACCTGTACCGATCGTCCCGGACGATCCAACTTCGTCCGGACAAACCTGGAGCAAAATTGATGTTACAATCATCCAGGCGGATATAAATATTGGCTTAGCCGATCAGCATAAGTTACGCTCAATCAGCCTGGTCGATTAGGGATGTTCAAGAGATTTTTTGTCATATCGTCCAGGCCGATAGGATATCTTCTTGGATGATTAGTTTAAAATATAGGGAAATTCGTCATGAACATAGCCCTGAAAAGAAGCAGGCCGATGTCAAATCGTCGCGGCCGATCCTGAGATCGGCCCGGCTGATATGATCATGCAAATCACCATTAATTGATTTCATTAATTACCAAATTTATTTAGAAAAAATTGTGCTGGATCGACCAGGCCGTGTTACGACCCATGACCCCGAGTTTGATATTTTGATGATGACAAATAATATCTTCTGAACTACTTTTCATTGAATATCATTTATGTTTTGCTATACTAATATTTCAGGAAGATCATAAGCCACTCAGGACAGCGAGAAGACTCAAGTCTGGTTAGATTAGGAGTATGAGTCAGACAATGTAATTTGTTATTTATTTTATTTTTTATTTTTTTAAGTCTGGCCACAAATTGCATGTAAGTCTGAGTAACCATGCACAGACACAGGGGGAGAGGGTTTTTAAAAGTAAAAAATATAGTTTTTTTTCACTGATAATCGTATTGTATGAAGTTATTTTGTAATGTACAATCTTATATTGTAAAACATGTTCTATGAAGGTCATCAAAATGTAGAGATCGCCAGAGCCGACATCACCTATTATATTGGGCTATCCACTGAAGGTCCTAGGGTTCGTTTCTTTCTCACAAACAAATTTGATTGGATTGAGGTTAATCAAGTCCTTAGGAACGCCGCATTCTAACAATACCAGCCTCTCGTCTAATCACTCACTCGTAATGCCCGAATTATTCAACATGTCCTTAGAACCTCTATTATACCCAAAGCTGGCGACCGGATCAACATGACCCCGACTTTATCTGTCGCTACCTATCTGATCATAACCAACACCAAATTTAATGAG